CCCCAAAACCCCAAAACCCCAAAACCCCGTAGAGCAAAATAAAAATAATAATAAAAGCCATTAATAATTATTTAAATATGTAACAAATCATTAAATTCAGCCCTCTGGCTCACAAGCTTAACTCCAAACTACTTCTTAGACAATTACTTTTCTAGAGAGCTTTTGTGATTCCATCTAGTAGAGGGCTTGCCATGAATTTCTCAGCCCCACTTCATAATAAAACTTAGCCAGCAATTGATGAGGAAACATAAGAAGACCTATTAAACAATAGAGCTATGAACATTGCCTAAACACAGTATCAAAACGATGAAATCATCAGAGATATCATCGAAAAGAATCAGACTATCTCCCAGCTGACAGGCTATTTCAACTACAATTAGAAGTCATTTTAAATGATTCACTACTCATTTATGCTTTACAGACTCAACCATCTTGTCCAAGAAGCCAAAAAATATCAAAATCTAACTCAGGAATAGATTTAGAACTTGCCTTAAAACCAAAGGATTATATTTGAATAGAACATTGGCAACGATCAAATGGCTAGCCATCTCTAGAAGCTGATTTGTTTTTACATCGCAAGAAATACAAAAGAATTGATTCCAAATGCCATAATTCCTATGTTGAAGGTCTTATCCGAGTCATCGCTTGATAGATCTGAAATGGGGTAAGAGCAATATGCTCTGATTGAGGAGAAAGTAATGCAAGAATACCCTAAATACATATCATTAGATCTATCTTCAATCGTTTCTGCCTTCTTAAAGCTTAACTATGTTCCTCATTAAATTATAGATGAGTTAAACAAACTTCAACAGCTTTCAACCATGAATAAGTATGCTTGCCTTTAACTACTTGAGGGTCTTGTCGATTCCAAGTACAATTAAAAACCTGAATTCTACGATAAACTCTTAACTTAACTAAAGAGATCATCCTAGGTCACAAATTAGAGACTTGCTGGTAGAGCACTAGCAATTTTAAACAAGTTGAAGGATATCACAACTGATAAAGATCTTGTGGATCATGCTTAATACTATATTGATAGGTATGTTGAATCGATTAGACATCCAGATTAATCTATAAAAGCAGATATTCTGCTAGATTCTGCCAGAGTAGTCAGATCTCTTGACAACTATGCAAGACAAGCAACTCAAAGAACATTAGATCTGGATTAGTTCAATGAGAACTATGTTAGAATCTAGTCAGATAAGATTGATAAGTTTAGAGCAGAAATTATTTTTGTTGTTTATGAGAGTTTCTTGAACGCAAGTGATAAGAAAAAGTTTGTGGACTCATTCATAAGAGCACTTAGGGAAAATAGAATAGATATTAGAAGGTTCAATGTATACCAACTTGAAAAAGCTGTCTAGATGATTCATGGTCACTCGTAAGTATATTTTATGTTTTTACTATTTCAGGAAGAAAGACCTGCATGTTTTCCATAAGTTCTTTGATCAATGTCTGGAATAAGGGTACTACAAACAACAATAGTTACTTGACAATTTCTCTGCATTCTCTAAATTGTTTTATATTTTCGTAAAAGAAGGCTTCATTACTCAAGACTTCTAAAACAACATTTATTACCAATATGTCTTCACCCTAAATGATAACCTCAAAAAATTGACAAATTAGGATATCGTGAATGTGCTCTGGGGATTAATTGTGTCTGATGATGAAACAGTTAAATCACCACTTATCGCCAAGATCTTTGAGATGTTGCATGAATTCAAAAGAGATACTCCTTTGACAAAGGATGAATTAATTCAGTTATATTAGATTCATATTTACGCTTAAGATAAGATAAAGAACAGAATCTGGGTAAATTATTTTAATTGTTAATGCTCAATAATAGCCAAAGTAATTCAAAGATGTGATCCCCTAAGCTGCAAAGGATGCTGCTGAGGACGAGTTTAATCAGTTCGACAAGAATCTCTTTAAAGATTACTAAATGGATATCGTAAGAAATTATGTTCATTCTAACAATCTTAGGCAAAGAAATTATTGAAACTTAGATGCACTTTTACTGAGAATGCAAAAATTCACAAAACATATAGAGCTGACTTTAAACTGACAGATGCCTAGAAAATAATCGTTTTTGTTGGAGGAGAAATGAAAAATTAAAAGAATTCTTAACTATTAGGAGTTTATTAATAAAAGATAAGTTACTTGCAAACCAAACTCAAGGATTATTAGGCAATTGTTATTGACCTTGATACCTGGAAAGATAAATCAGAAGATGAGTAGTACTCATTTTTGTTCAATGCATCATTGCCTAAAGAGGGAGATGGGTTTTAATCTCAATACTCTTTTTGAGCTTAATTATTTAAATTAGTAATCTTGATTAATCTACAAAAATCATTATTTTATTAGAATTATTGTATAGTTTAATTATCTAATATCTAGTTATTAGTGACTATATGCACTAGGGGTTTTGGGGTTTTGGGGTTTTGGGG